GGTTCAACATACGCAAGTCTATCAACGTAATTCACCACATAAACAGAACCAAAAACAAAAACCACATGATTATCTCAATTGACGCAGAGAAGGCATGTGACAAAATTCAACAGCCCTTTATGCTAAAAACCCTCAATAAAGTCGGTATCGATGGAACGTATCTCAAAGTAATAAAAGCTATTTATGACAAACCAACAGCCAATATCATACTGAATGGGCAAAAACTGGAAGCATTCCCTTTGAAATCTGGTACTAGACAAGGATGCCCTCTCTCACCACTCCTATTCAATATAGTACTGGAAGTTCTAGCCAGAGCAATCAGGCAAGAAAAAGAAATAAAGGGTATTCAAATAGGAAAGGTGGAAGCCAAATTGTCTCTATTTGCAGACGACATGATAGTATACCTAGAAGACCCCATCGCCTCAGCCCAAAAACTCCTGAAACTGATAAACAACTTCAGCAAAGTCTCAGGATATAAAATCAATGTGCAAAAATCACAAGCATTCGTCTACACCAATAACAGACTTAAAGAAAGCCAAATCAAGAGCGAACTGCCATTCGCAATTGCTACAAAAAGAATAAAATACCTTGGAATACAACTCACAAGGAACGTAAGGGACCTCTTCAAGGAGAACTACAAACCACTGCTCAACGAAATCAGAGAGGACACAAACAGATGGAGAAACATTCCATGTTCATGGTTAGGAAGAATTAATATCGTGAAAATGGCTATACTGCCCAAAGTAATTTACAGAATCAACGCTATCCCCATCAAGCTACCATTGACTTTCTTCACAGAACTGGAAAAAACCACCATGAACTTCATATGGAACCAAAAGAGAGCCTGCATAGCCAAGTCAATTCTAAGCAAAAAGAACACAGCGGGGGGCATCACACTACCGGATTTCAAACTATACTACAAGGCTACAGTAATCAAAACAGCATGGTACTGGTACCAAAACAGAGATATAGACCAATGGAACAAAACACAGGCACCGGAGGCAACACAACATACATACAACTATACAATCTTTGATAAACCTGACAAAAACAAGCAATGGGGCAAGGATTCCCTGTTTAACAAATGGTGTTGGGAAAACTGGCTAGCCATGTGCAGAAAGCAGAAACTGGACCCCTTCCTGACACCTTACACTAAAATTAACTCCAGATGGATTAAAGACTTAAACATAAGACCTGGCACCATAAAAACCCTAGAAGGAAATCTAGGCAAAACTACCCAGGACATAGGAGTAGGCAAGGACTTTATGAACAAAACACCAAGAGCATTGGCAACAAAAGCCAAAATAGGCAAATGGGACCTAATGAAACTCCACAGCTTCTGCACGGCAAAAGAAACAGTCACTAGAGTGGATCGGCAACCAACAGAATGGGAAAAAATTTTCGCAGTCTACCCATCTGACAAAGGGCTGATATCCAGAATTTACAAACAACTCAAGCAGATTTACAGGAAAAAAACAAACAAGCCCATTCAAAAGTGGGCAAAGGATATGAACAGATACTTTACGAAAGAAGACATATATGAGGCCAACAATCATATGAAAAAATGCTCATCGTCACTGGTCATCAGAGAGATGCAAATCAAAACCACATTGAGATACCATCTCACGCCAGTTAGAATGGCGATCATTAAAAAATCTGGAGATAACAGATGCTGGAGAGGATGTGGAGAAAAAGGAACACTTTTACACTGTTGGTGGGAGTGTAAATTAGTTCAACCATTGTGGAAGACAGTGTGGCGATTCCTCAAGGCCTTAGAAATAGAAATTCCATTTGACCCAGCAATCCCATTATTGGGTATATATCCAAAAGACTATAAATCGTTCTACTATAAGGACACATGTACACGAATGTTCATTGCAGCACTGTTTACAATAGCAAAGACCTGGAATCAACCCAAATGCCCATTGATAATAGACTGGATTGGAAAAATGTGGCACATATACACCATGGAATATTATGCAGCAATCAGAAATGATGAGTTCGTGTCGTTTGTAGGGACATGGATGAATCTTGAAAACATCATCCTCAGCAAACTGACACAAGAACAGAAAATGAAACACCGCATATTCTCACTCATAGGTGGGTGATGAAAAATGAGAACACATGGACACAGAAAGGGGAGTACTAAACACTGGGGTCTATTGGGGGGAAAAGGGGAGGGCCAGTGGGAGGGGGAGGTGGGGAGGGATAGCCTGGGGAGAAATGCCAAATGTGGGTGAAGGGGAGAAGAAAAGCAAAGCACACTGCCATGTGTGTACCTACGCAATTGTCTTGCATGCTCTGCTCATGTACCCCAAAACCTATAATCCAATAAAAAATTAAAAAAAAAAAAAAATTTTACATTGTTGAGTACTGAATTTTGTTGTCTTCTCCAAAGAATATTGGACTTCGTTCTAGTTGGCAGTTAAGTTACTTGCAGATCATTTTGATCCTTTTGAGGCTTGTTTGCAAACTCCAAAGAATATTGGACTTCGTTCTAGTTGGCAGTTAAGTTACTTGCAGATCATTTTGATCCTTTTGAGGCTTGTTTGCAAACTTCATTAGGGGAGGAGTAATAGTAGCCTTTTCTCCAGAGCTAGTTTAGCCCTATTCTTAAGGTGACTTTTTTGGTGTCTCTATTGAATTTCCTGGGAGTTCATCTATGAAGTTTCTCTACTTTGACTAGTCAGAACTCAAATGTCTCCCAGCCCTGTGTGAGATCTGAGGATTGTTTGACTTATAGATCCCTGGTCATTTTTTACCTGGCCTTGGAGAGTTCCATCCTATTCACGTGCAGGTTAGTATTTATCAAATGTCTCAGGGCAGACTTGATTTTTGGAGCTGTTTCTGTGTAGCCTTCTCGTCTCTGGTATTATAACCTGGAAACACCAGCAACTTTAGCCTTCCTAAACTTTGACCTGTCTCCTCAACTCCGTGTGATTTCTGTGCTCTATTGAGAATATACGTCTTCACTAAAGTCCAGAAAGTGTCTTCAGCAGAAGCCAGGGAAAACTTACAAGACCAGCTTCATTTGTTACACTTATTTTAGAAATTAAGAGTCTTATACTGCCCCTATAATATAATGTCTGAACACATTTGTTTCATATATTTTGTCCAGTTGCCCGATTGATTACAGTAGGAGGGTTAAAGTTAGACCTAGTTTCTTCCTCATGTACAGAAGCAAAATTGGCTTTCATTCTTCTTTTTATATTTTCATTCCAAAGCAATGCAACTGTTTCTAAATAAACTAGTATGCATTAATCTTTTAAGAATAAATATCTTGGCTGGGCACAGTGGCTCATGCCTATAATCCTGCTACTTTGGGAGGCCGAAGTGGGAGGATCTCTTGCACCCAGGAGTTCAAGACCAGCCTGGGCAACATGGCAAGACCCCATTTCTAATAAAAAAAAAAATTAGCCAGTTGTGGTAGCATGGGCCTGTGGTCTCAGCTACTCAGGAGGCTGAGGCAAAGACTGCTTGAGTCTAGTTGAGGCTGCAGTGAGCCACGGTTGCACTACTACAGTCAAACTTGAGCAACAGAGCAAGACCTTATCTCAAAAATAAACAAATAAAAATTAATAAACATCTCAATATTATCATTCTGTAATGCTACCAGTGCTCAGATTAGTTATGGAATATTTTGTGGAAAAAATGCATTCAACAAATACTTACAGTCATCAAGAAAATCAGTTATAACATGTTCTGAGGAATGCCATTTCTAAAGGCCAAAAACAAATGTTTAAGTCCTATCTTAAGTTTACTAAGTTGGGTGTCAATGAGTATTAGTAGAATTGATATTAGCTTTCTTACCCGTGAGCTGTACCCTGATCTACACAAATGAAGCACTCTTTGAGTTGTACAGCATGTAGCCTGAATAGCAATGAAGCAGTAGCCCTGGCTATATCAAGATACTTCCATCTGAAAGAAAAGATTCACATCAAAATGGCTTACACAATAAATATATTCTCTCACCTAGCAAAGTGTTCAGATGTAGTAGCAGTTCCAAGGTTAATTTGATGACTCATGTTATAAAGAACCCAAATCCTTTCTTTCCCCCTCCTGTACTTACCCTTCTCCACAGAGTTACTTTCATATTCTCTCTGCATAGTTGAATAAAGGCTGCAGAAGCTCCAAGCGTCATGGTCTCTGACAACCATTTCCAAAGACAAGAGAATATGTCACTTTGGGACACAAGTTCTCCACTGGACACTTCTCCAGAAGTCTCCCAGCAGACTTGCTCTCTTGTCACTACCTAGAATTCTATCACATGCCTTCGTTAAGCAATCACTCTCAAGAGGAATGGAGTTACTATGGTTGTCTTACTAACAAAGATTCAACCCCTGAATCATACAGCCAACCAGCATCTAAAAGACAAGACTGCTATTGAAAAGTGTCTATTTATTGTATAGATATTTTGTATTTAAAGTATCTATACAATAAAAAGCTATCTAACCTAAGTGAAATCATTTATGTGAAATTAACCTACATCTCAATCATTATGTAATGTCGTATCAATTTTCATCCTTAAATGACATTGTTTAGTAAATTCACTTGTTATATCTACTAGCTAAATTGACCGTACTTGGTTGTAAAAGATGTCTTACATGTTTAAAAAGTAAACAAGACACATTTGCTGCAGGGATATTATATACAGATGAGAAGGATGACCTTAGTCTTCCCAAATAGGCAACTGAAGTGTCTATTTATTGCATAGATATTTTGATACTTTTCAAAATTCAAAATCTGTAATAGATTGTTAGGAAAAAATAACCCAAATATTGAGAACTGGTTGGGTGGTAGGGAGAAACAGCCCTCTTCCACTGCTGGTAGGAGGCTGATCTGGTACAGTTGTCTGAAGAGCAGCATGGCAATATCACGGCAAGTTAAGCAAGTACAGACCTAACAACTGGGCATTCTCCCCTGTGTAGATCCTAGAGAAACACTTACCTCTGGATATTAATTATTAATTGCTGTATAACAAATTACTCAAAACAGAGTGGTTTAAACCAACAATAAACATTTATTATCTCATAGCTTCTATGGGTTAAGAAGTCAGGAGTGGCTTAGCTGGGTGGTTCTGGCTCAGGGTCGATCATGAAATTTCAGTTGAGATGTTGGCTGGGGCTCCGGTCATCCAAATGTTTGACTTGGGCTGAAGGATCCACTTCTAAGGTGCCTCAGTCAAAGGGCTGGTAAGTTGGTGGTAGCTATTGGCTGCTCCACAGGGCTGGGCTGCTAGAGCGTCCTCATAACATAGTGGCTGGTTTTGCAGAGAACAAGTAATCCAAGAGAACAAGGTGGAAGCAGCAGTGTTATTTTATGGCTTAGTCTGGGAATTCACAAGCTATCACTATGCCATATTATGTTGGTCACAAAGATTAGCCCCAATACAATGTGGAAAGGGATTATACAAGGGCATGAATACAAGGCAAGGATCACTTGGGACCAACTTGGAAACTGGATTCCATACACAAGTCTATGTATTAAAACAATCACTGCAGTATTATTTGCAGTGACAATGAGCTGCAGGTAACCTAGGTTGTCATTTCTAGAGAAATTTGTAAGTAAATATGGTGTATGCCTCTGATGGAATACCTTATAGCAATCTAAACCAATGAACTAGAGTTACACTTTTTTTTAACTCAAAAGAAACAGAAACAGAATTTAAAGACAGTAGGATTTATAGCATAGGGCAATTCATATGTCTAAAAACCACTGTGTGTACATATGTATTTTTCATATTATATAAAGAAACATATTGCCAAATAAATACCTAAAGGGTTGACTGGAAAGGCATATTTTAAGTGGTTGTATATGGCGGAAAGTGGAGACCAATGAAAGAATAAAACAAAAAAAGCAAAAAAGAGGGGCTTTGCAAGAATAATGTAAAGAGTGTGCCATTAATTAAAGAAAGGAATTAATTACCTCAATTAGTTGAAGTTTAAAAAAAAAATTCCTTTTTTTGGTAGAGTTGTAATGTGGCCAAAGCAAGTCTAAGAGATCTTGTTGAAGCAAGATTCTAACAGATAAGATTCTATTCATTTCCCTATTTTTTAAAGTCATCCCTGTGGAAAAAAATTTTTAGTGACTCATGTCTGTAATCCCAGCACTTTGGGAGGCTGAGGCAGGCAGATTACCTGAAATCAGGAGTTTGAGAACAGCCTGGCCAATATGGTGATACCCCCATCTCTACTGAAAGCACAAAAATTAGCCAGGTGTGGTAGCACGTGCCTGTAGTCCCAGCTACGTGGGAGGCTGAGGCACAAGAATAGCTTGAACCTGGGAGGTGGAGGTTGCAGTGAGCCACGATCACACCACCCCACTCCAGCCTAGGCAACTGAGCAAGACTCTGACTCAAAAATAAAAATAAAATAAGATAAAATAAAATACCTCCCTTATTCACCTTGTTGAAATAAGATTCTTTTAGCAAAACACAAATCTCTTTCATTTCTCAAATGGAGATACTTAAAATGTAAATAATCTTGAAAGAGGTAGCTCAAAAATTAAATTTATAATTAAGAGTAAATGTATGATAGCAGGTTTCTTTGTTGAGAATGTGTCTAATCGGATAAAGCTAAAGGAACATAATTTTGAATTTCCTTAAAGAATATGGGGATTGAGTGGTTGGAAAAGAGAAGGAGCATGGAGGGGTACATTAAGGTACCAAAGACAGATTAGATCCTTCATAATTTAGATTAAATATTAAATAGCTTGTGACAAATTTTATTTTGGGGTTGGAACAAGAAAAGGATCACCTTGCATTTATGGTTAATTTATTTCCTTTGAATTTTAGGTGTACCTATAGACACATTTTCACCTGTTTAATTTTCACTGTGGTTAACAACTCAAATATTAATTTACTGTCTACATATTGTTTCCAACTGATGATGATTTTCTGTGTTCAGCAGTAGTGGATTGTTTGGTTATTCCTGGTTGGTCACCACTTGAATGATAATCTAAATCTAAACTTGAAAGTAGGCCAGTTTTAAAATAATTTACAGAGCATTTAGGACTAAAATGAAGAAGGTTCACGTGAAAGCCTACTTTATCTTAATGAAAATATGTTATATATACTTGCAACTATGTGACATCAGAGAGTTAGGATAATTTTTTTTTTTTTAATTTGAGGAGAACAATGATACTGGTTTTATTGAGAATAAGCCCAACCTAGGGCACTGGGAGTGCACGAGTCACTTACATAACAAGTGATCTATGATGTATAGGAACGACTGTCACCTACTCCAACTGCAGCCCTGTGGGATCACACCCACCAGTAAGGTTTTAACAGCTACCTCTGCTGAGTAACAATGAAGACACCAATCCAAAGGAGCCAATATATTTACCAAGCTTTCCTTTTTTTTTCCCTATTTTAAAAAAGTAAATTATCACTCTCACAAAACTTTGTATATGTGTGCTTAAGCATTTTCTCATTTATGAGCCCTTCAGACACTAGACAAGTTATTATCAAGCCACTTATGAACTGTCTAATATAAATTAATGTAGGCATATATAATCTCTAAGGCAAAAAAAAAAAAAAACAAAAAAAAAAACCTCATGAAGTATCCCCATGGATTCCCCTCATGAAGACTCCCCATGGAGCACTAGGCAGTTCTAGAAACACAAAAACCAGACATTGTATTCACAGTGCCACCTTCTTCCCTGCTCTACAAGGCATTTTTGCTCAAGCACCAGCCCCCTTAAGGCATCACTACAATATTTGGTTAACAGAAACAGACACATTTACATAGTAACAGCTGTTTTTCATATAAGTCTTCACAAACAGTGGAGATACTGAAAATACTCTGTGCCTTTGAAGCTTTGTGAAGGTAAAACAAAAATTTTTTTCAAAACATTTCTATTCTCTCTTCATGATAAAAAACAGTGGACAATATCTAAGGCCCACTTCAAGGGGCTATAAGCTCCATGAAAGCCGTGCCTGGCTTGTACAACAGTGATTCTCCAGAGTCCGGCAGAGCTCAGCAGGGCAGCGAACTGTATTTCTTGAATGCTTGGAGAAATACATGTCTTATTAGACTAATTTATATATCAGTTTTTCTTCTTGACAGTTGGGTTATTTGGCTAGCCATAGAGACATTTTTCATACCAGAACAAGATCTAGTGTATTCTAATATTTTCATCTTGAAAATGTGAAAGAAGAGAGAAGACCAGGTCCAGAGAAGTTTACAGACCAGTGAGGCTCAGAGGCTACAGAAGTTTGGCCACTTGACTGAAACTCACCCTCTTCCACCCACCCCAGTGCTCTGTGAGCCATACTGTACACACTGTTCCTCCTTTAGGTCTCTGTAAAAATCAAATTTAAATTAACTGGCTTTATAAAAAAGAATATATTTTCAGTTACATTAAGAAAAACTAAAAAATAAGTTTGTAAAAGTCTTTTATTGTATCCGTGCCACACATAGTGAAAAATAACACTCCTAAAAAAAAGAATGCTACCTTTTTTCACAACATTTTATTTTAAATAAAACTTCAAGTACTCTTACATAGGTACAAAAAAAAGTCTGATCTATTTGCCTCCAACAGGCCACCACAACACACAGTAGATAAAACACAGTGGTTACAAATGTCTTTTAAATTTATTTCTGAGGCAAGGCAAATGGGAGGGAAGTGTTTCTATGAAAAAATACTGTGTGCGTAGGAAATTGTCACAATTTTATTCCACGTGGATACAAATGATTATACTTTAATTTAGGCCCTGGTGGCTTAAAATTATGTAACAAAATAGAAAAATGGAAAACTAATATCCCCTACACCCTGTTTCAAAGGCAGGCACTACCAAGATTAAGGAGACGCCACAGTGTTGGTAGAGGATAATTACTGTACAGACTGTATAGCTATCATTACCTTAAGACGAAAATAAAACGCTACAATCCTCTAAGGCATGAACAATAATGTCTGCAAACAATATATACACATAATACATACTTAAAACAAGACTTAATATAAACAAGAATGAACAGTATATACATGTCAATTTTTTCACTGTTTTGAAATACAATTTAACTACACAAGTGATGCAGCAACATATATATATAAATGTACTTGTAACTCTACAGTAAAGTTTCTTTTTGGTGCTTTTATAGCACATCAGTGTAAACAGTTTAACTTGGCTTTGTTTTATATTTTAAAACATTCCTTGTTGTATTTTCAAGATTTAAAGCAATTTTCTAGTTCTTCCTTTTCACAGAAAACGAAGATTCTGGATGTGGTTTAATCATAAATAATTCATAAAATTAAATACATTCACTAAAAAATAAACTACAAAGTAAAAAAATGAAAAATAGATATTTATTGAGAGGGAAAGGAGAACCATTTCCCACATTAGAGCTCTGGTGTTGAGTATTCAGTGCGATTTGATATATTTTAATTGCTATTGCACTATAACACCCTTTCCTTTGAAAATTCTTTGGGTGTGCTTCCCTGTTCTACCTAAATTAGCTGATAAATCACACAAACCAATAACCAAGGGCCTTGGTTGTTGTAGGAGTGAAGCCTTTAAAAATGGTATCATTCTTCTGATACTTTTTTTTTATACTTATCTTAAGAAAAAAGAAAGTCATTATGTATGTGCCTTGCACATTTATGTAAATACAGTTCACATTGCTGGTCTCATTTGTCCTTGTTTAAAAGAAAAAAAATAAAGAGATTATTATAACTTCAGCTCACTTTGAAAGTATCTGTCCACTTTTTTTCAAAATACTTTCTCATATTGTGGCCAGCTCTGCCTATATCAGAATCATCTTCATTAAATGTTTCACAGTTGTCAAAAACAAGCCTGACATCTAGAGCAAAGGTTTCAAGGTTTGGATACCTGAAAGAAAACACATAATTAGTGATTACTTTCGTAGAGTGGCTTTGTTTTGTAAAAAAATGAAGAGTTAGGATAACTGCATTTAAACTGATATAAAAATATGATACACTTTTATAGATAGAACATTTAAAAAATTTTGTATGTTCTGGAACATACTGGATTTAAAGAACAGGTTAAATGGAAAAACATATTTCTCTAAAGATCAAAACATATTTCAACTGGCATTTCCCCATATCCCATCTCCTGTTTGACCTCTGTCACACAATTCTGTCACAGGACCTATCCCACTTGACTAATTTATTAGGTTATCTGACCAAATGTATCACTTGTAGGATCCTATTATCTGTATTCAAAAATGCTCAGCTGCAGGAGAAATCATGTAAATGCTTCCTATGCAATGATAAAATTAACACTTGTCTTGTAGCTGTTATATACGGAATTCCCCATTTCTCTTATCTTCTCTTATAAATGCTCTTTTGCCCAGGAATTGGAGTATGATGAACCCAAATAGGCAAACAAAGCATATGCTATCTCTGTACTAGAGGTAACATTATGAGGGTCTGTCTTTCAACAAGAAGCAGTGTGGTTTCCATGCTTTTCTGGTGAGATAAACCCAATTCTCTTTCTCTGTAGGAAAACAGAAAAGAGAAAAGAAAGATGAATGAATTTGCCTAAGCTTATTAGTAAGAAAGAAATGGTCATTTCGAGCCAACTCAAGCCAATTCAATAAATTTTAAAAGACAGCTTTTAGAAATTCAAATTTTAAATTAACTCTAACCTATGACAAGCTGGATACTAAAATAATGTAAACATTAAAAATATCCCATGAGTGTAAATTAGTACAACCACTATGGAGAACATTTTGTAGGTTCCTCAAAAAACTAAAAGCAGAGCTACCATGTGATCCAGCAAGCCCACTGCTGGGTATATACCCAAAAGAAAGGAGATAAGCATATTAAAGAGATATCTGCACTCCTGTGTTTGTTGCAGCACTGTTCAAATAGCCAAGATTTGGAAGCACCCTTAGTGTCCATCAATGGATGAATGGATAAAGAAAATGTGGTACTTATACACAATGGAGCACTATTCAGCCATAAAAAAAAAAAATGAGATTTTGTCATTTGAAACAATGTGGATCAAGTGGAGGTCATTATGTTAAGTGAAATAAGCCAGGCACAAAAAGACAAACATCACATGTTCTTACTTATTTATGGGATCTAAAAATCAAAACAACTAAACTCTTGGAAACAGAGTAGAAGGATGGGTACCAGAGGTTGGGAAGGGCTGTGGGGAGGTAAGATGGTTAATGGGCACAAAAAAATAGAAGGAATGAATAAGATCTAGTATGTGATAGCACATCCAGGGGACTATAGTCAATAATAATTTAACTGTACAAACTTTAAATTAAAAGAGCATAATTGGATTATGCGTAACACAAAGGATAAATGCTTGACGTAATACTCAATTTTCCATGATGTGATTATTATGCATTGCATGCCTGTATCTTGTACAGCCCATAAATATATACATCTACTATGTATCCACAAAAATTTAAATAAAAATTAAAAAAAAGAAATACCCCATGAGGGACTGGTGCTGTGAAAGCTTGTCAAAGCGGAATTCTATTTTTTTGGTGAAATATCTTATATGACCTTTCACTCCCTTCTTCTGTGTAAATGAAAGAAAAATTTCTGTATGTTTAATATGCTCACATGTAACCTCATCCATTTTCCTAGGAATTATTTGCTTATTTTTATTGAGGTGAAGAAATTCACATAAAATTAACCATATTAAGTTGGACAATTCAGTGGCATTTAAGTCACAAAATGGTATTATCGTCACTTCTGTCTTCAAAACACTGCCATCACCCTGAAAGGAAACATACTCATTAAGCAGTTATTCCCCATTCCTCCCTCTTCCCAGCACCTGGCAACCACCAATCTTCTATCTGTCCCTACGAATTTATCTATTCGGGATACTTCATACAAATGGAATCATACAGTATGTGTAGGAATGATTTTTATAAAATATTTTAAAGTTACTTTAAGAACTACTTCTCTTTTGATTGTTCCTTACCCTAAGAAAAGGTTAATGATTAACCTTAGGGAGAGTGGAACCCAGGAGAGAATTCTAGGCGAGATTCTAGCTGAAAAATGTATACAACTCATATGTGTGTCCTTCCTTTAGGGGATGGCCAGCTAACGGAACTCAGAAAGATTCATTAAAGTAGGCCACTCCCTCTATTCTAAACATTTCTAGTTTAAAAATTTTAAATATGGTTTGTGAGTTTTGGTTCTACCTCATTAATTTGGGTTTAATCAACTCCAACTAGAGAGTCTGAGGAACTTGAATCCACTGAATTTTGCTTCCCACACAGCTGGCATCGAAAACAGGATTGCACAGACTGTTTTTCCTTCTCTCTTCCTCTTCCCCTGTGACTTCCTCCATTTACCCGAACTCATTTTCCAAAGGAGCTCTCATTTTGTAGCTTTTTTTTTTTGAGATACAGTCTTACTCTGTTGCCCAGGCTGGAGTGCAGTGGTGTGATCTTGGCTCACTGCAACCTCCACCTCTGGGTTCAAGTGATTCTCGTGCCTCAACCTCCTAAGTAGCTGGGACTAAAGGCATGCGCCACCATGCCCAGCTAATTTTTGTACTTTTAGTAGAGACGAGACTTCAACATATTGGCCAAGTTGGTCTCAAACTTGTGATCTGTCTGCCTCCAGTCTCCCAAAGTGCTGGGATTATACAGGTGTGAGCCACCTCGCCTGGCCCATATGATTTTGTAGCATTTTTTGTTATATTTATTTTGAAGCCTATTTGTTTTAGGAGTTTTGAGGTTTATGTTAATCCTGTATCCAGGAATTGGAAGATCATGGAAGTTAAAATCAAGAGTTAATTTAAATCCTAGTAAAGTCTTCATGTGTAATTCTTTGTCTCAGCCACGTCAATTACAAATTTCATTGTGCCATCCATCTAGACAATGGACTATTTTGATAGAACAAGGAAAGAACTAGTCCATGTCTTGATCACAGCATTTGCATATTGGAACCAATCAGTACCAATCAATCATTTTAATGGTTTTAAATGCTTCCTGAATTTAGGGAGGTCCCTTCTATAATTAAGAAAATAATAAAACAAAACAGACATAAACCTTTGGAAGACTGTTATTTCATCTCCCGAAGAAATAAATTAGTCATCTGGTTAACCTAGTAAATCACTTGGTATATGTGAGGGACACTGATCATTATAAGTTCTATTTAACTCTTCTAAATTAAATATAGAGTACACAGACTCCAGTTATTTTCACCAAAAGAATGTACAGGAAGATCTAAATAATATACTGAATAATAACAACATAATTAAAATACACATTGCATGAGTATCAGGAGAGCCTCTCAAAGTAAGTAACTTTATTCTTGAAATAGGATTGCAAAGAGAATATGGTAGAGAGGAGCAAATAATAGTTCTTTCTCCACATTAATAAATGGAATTTTGGTATTCTCCAATAACTACATTAAAGCTCTTAATATGTAAAACTTCCAAAGATCTTCTATTTCTGCATTATGATCATCTAACAATATTTGAGTCAATTTTTGTTAAATCCACATGAGGTGTGGTCACGCCATAGATGCAGAATTCTGCTTAGCTATTACTTCCTTTGGGAGGCTTTCCTGATACTTTTCCTTACCTTCAGCCTAGGTTTGTGGTGCTCTTTCAACGTCAAAAGCAGGTTTATTACATTTTTTTTTTTTTTTTTTAAGATGGGGTTTCACCATGATGGCCAGGCTGGTCTTGAACTCCTGACCTTAGGTGATCCTCCCACCTTGGCCTCCCAAAGTGCTAGGATTACAGGCATCAGCCACCGTGCCCGGCCTATTACACTGATTTTTAATTTCTTAAATAATTTTAGTTGGTTTCTCTTCTATACTATTCTACTCTAGCCAAATAGATACACACCCACCTGAAAGGAAGGGCCTATATCTTATGGCTAATTAAAATAACTTTGGCTCACTACAAATATGCCCAGCACATATCAGGGATTCAATAAATATTTAGTAAACTGAAATGATTTACTTACTGTCCACTACTTAGTTTCTCTCTAATTGTGGAAAAATCCATAGGCTTCTTAATAACTTTCTTATAACCAGGAACAAGTTTCAAGTTTACAGGAAGTAGGAAAGGCCATGCATCCTCATGAGTTTCCATTTCAGTCAGAATCATACTAAAGAAAATAATGTTTGAAATCAGTATCCACAATTGTCTATTTTCTAATTAAAAAAAATTTCAGTTATTATATATATGTATATTATATATATACACACACATATATATATCTGTGTGTATGTGTGTGTGTGGGTATATGTATATATATATATATATATATATATATAGAGAGAGAGAGAGAGAGAGAGAGAGAGAGAGAGACAGAGACAGAGGCAAAGGCTTGCTCTATTGCCTAGGCTGGAGCACAGTGGCGCCATCTTGGCTCAATACAACTTTAGCCTCCCAGGTTTAAGTGATTCTCCTGCCTCAGCCTCTCAAGTAGCTGGGATTATAGGTGTGTGCCACTACACCCAGCTAATGCTTGTATTTTTAGTAGAGACAGCATTTTACCATGTTGGCCAGGCTGGTCTCAAACTTCTGACTTCAGGTGACCTGCCCGTCTGAGTTTCTCAAAGTGCTGGGATTTTAGGCATGAGCCACTGTGCCAGGCCTATTATAATCTTTCAAATAAAAACTCAATGCAAATTAACATTAAAAGACAAAGGAATAGATTTACTGTACTTACACATTTTCTTAATACTTATGCTTTACATTTTTTATTTGCACAAATTATCAGAAAGGAAGCTTTAATATGGTAAAAGGTTTTTTAACAAATAAAATGGGAAGTTTTAATATAGAGTGCATGAAAATGGAAATAATACCTGCAAAGAGCTAGGTCCTTGGAGTCATCTCTTTTAGGTTTCTTAACCGAAGAAAAACTTTCTTGTTTTGACAAGTTAATAGAAGCATTTTCTTCCATTTTTCTTTTCTTGAGGTCTTTGTTTCCTCTTTTTAGAGAACTACTTGTAGATGCAGAGTCTTCATCTTCCGTATCTCCTGTTAAAGTTACCTTCTTGCCTTTCTTTGACTCATTAGTCTTTTTTCCTTTGACATGAAGTTTTTTGATTTTTATAGTTTGACCACTTGCCTTTAATTAAAAAAAAAGTAAAATGAAGTGTAAGAAAGTGTCTGTCTACAGACCTTCTATTATTTTAAATTATGAACGTCTGACAGGACAAACAAGTAAAAAGAATAACTCTGATCTAGAATAGTTATAACTATTATTCTTAAGAAAGATCTGTGTATTTTTTCTCTCATAAGGATAAAATCTAATAAAATATGAAAAGTCTATTAATCTTAAGAATTCTTAAAACTTGAGATGCTGATCTCATGGTAGTTCATCTATAGAACATGTCTGTAGTATTCCTTTAGTGTAGGTCACTAACTGAATGATTTTAAAGATACAAAAGAATTCTCTTTTGGAGCACAACAGAATTAGAAATAAAGATGAATATAAATGAAAATATAGAAATAGTTAAAAAGAAAGTTGAAGAGATAATAAAAAGCCAGGCCAAAAAATGAAAAAGAGCTAAGGAAGTGTCAAATAGAGAAATCCAAGTGATCGAATCTACTAGAAATTGATTATTTTTTTGGGTAAAAAATAAAGGTATTTGCAATAAGAAGAGAATTCCACAAACTTGTGATTCCCAGGTGTGAACTAAGCATTGGTGAAAGATGGGGGAAAACGATGTCTGTTTTTGAAAAAAACAACATAGAAAGCTATAAAAGACATTGTGCTTGGAACCAAAGGATATGAATTCCAGCTATGGCTCTGTTACTAACTTTGAGCAAAAATATTTGTGAGGTCTTGTTTTCTAATTTTAAAAATAAGAATGAGAAACCACATACTTGCTAAAGTCATTCTAGCTCTAGGATTACATGCAAAAAAGAAATCTCAATGTGGTCTTATGCAAATATAACCACAAATTGCAGGCAGCACATGAATGCAACAAGAAGGGTGCCCCACCCTGTATTCATAGAGAAATAAAATCTGCCTTTTGAGAGTTAAATGTTATGATAAATATAATAGATCATAAAAGAGAGATGTAAAGTTCTGGCAATGTATGACTTTTATTTTGATTTTCCAAATATGTGGTACATACCAAACACTTTTAGAAAACTATTCCTTTAACTAGATTGTTAAAAAATTCTAGACTGCAAAGTCATATAATCAGTGTAGCAGGCCAGGCACAGTGGCTCACGCCTGTAATCCCAGCACTTTGGGAGGCTGAGGCAGGCAGATTACAACATCAGGAGACCGAGACCATCTTGGCCAACATGGTGAAACCCCATCTCTACTAAAAATACAAAAATTATCTGAGTATGGTGGCGCATGTCTGTAATTCAAGCTACTCTGGAGGCTGAGGCAGGAGAATCGCTTGAATCAGGGAGCCACATGTTGCAGTGAGCCAAGATGGCACCACTTCATTCCACCAGCCTGGCAACAGAGAGACACTCTGTCTCAAACAAAACAAATCAGTTTACCAATAACTTAAAGTTAGCTGTAGTCGTTTTTTTGTTTTTGGTTTTTTTTTTTTTTTGGCAGTCTCGCTCTGTTGCCCACGCTGGGAATACAGTGGTACAATCATGGCTTACAGTAGCCCCAGCCACTCGGGTGGCTGACATGGAGGAGTATCTGTTGAGCTCGAGTGGCTGGGGCTATGGGTGTGCACCACCTTGCTTACATTACTTGAAAATGCTCTTAATCAAATAGTTAAAATTATTTGCTTCTTTATTAGCAGGTTAAAGTATAGTTAAGGAGATATTTTAATTGACTAATTGATTTTAAGGTAAACCATAAATCCCAAGCTTTCTCCATATCATATCAAAGAATCACAACCTCTGTCAGTGACTGAAATAATTAACGTTTTATTCAGTCTCTTCTCCATTTAGTTATTTTTATTCATTAAAATCTGATTATTTTGTTTTTTTTTTGTAAAATACTGAGCTTTCAGTACTCTGAAATCATTAAAAAAGGCAGAATACTTAACACAATGAAGAGGAAGTCCATTTAATGACAAGTTAGACTGAATAGCTTTATTACTTAAAAAAAAAACAAAATGTTATAAATAGTGGGCCAAAACATCTAGTTTCTATTTGAACTAAAATATTATTTGGTATAAATTTCTAACAAATTAATACATACAGTAAGAAAATATAAAATTGGGCTGGGCGAGGTGACTCATCCTGCAATCCCAGCACTTTGGAGGCCAACAGCAAGGTCAGGAATTAGAGACCAGCTTGGTCAACATGGTGAAACCCCATCTCTATCAAAAATACAAAAATTAGCTGGGTGTGGAGGTGCATGCCTGTATTCCCAGCTACTCAGGAGGCTGAGGCATGAGAATCACTTGAACCCGGGAGGTGGAGGTTGCAGTGAGCTGAGATCACCCCACTGTACTCCAGCCTCGGTAACAGAATGAGACTGTTTCAAAAAAAAAGGAAGGAAAGAAATATACAATTGAAATCACAGAATCAAAAGACTTGTGATTTTTAAAAAAAGACAAAAAATGATGTGGGTCAGCTGATCTAATTAGATAGTACAAACACACATACTTTAAAAGCAAACTTTTTATCTAGTTACTCTGTTAACTTGATTACTTTGCTCTTGGGCAGAGCATTCCCCAACCCCCATCACCTTTTCTTGGCTAGAGTACGAATTCAAAGCGGAACTTCAGTGGATCCTAAGCAAAACTTTTCAGATTTAATGAACAATGGCACATATCTTTTATGTTTATAAATTCTTATAAGTCACGAACTGGTGACTCACAGGCTTCAAACAGGCCACAGAATGTGCTATTTGCTTCAAATAATGCTTGTAAAAATTCTGAATTTGTTTCCAATACTTAATATTTGGGAAGACATAAAAATCCACAGTCTCAACTGCCCTTGAATATATGGGTTCTTGAACATGGGGCCCACATTCCTACATGACAACAATTGGGTAGAGTTGAGCTTTGACTTAAATTTAAATAGAGACATGATTCTCCTGTTTGCCACAGTGCCCCCTAGGGGATCCAATGAACTCTTTCATGTTACTTACTTGGCTTTTGTAGGCACTGAAGTTTGAAATGTCTAATAGGTGAGTTTGTGTGTGTTATCTATGTGTGTGTTTATAAGTGTGTATTAATACAATTGGCCCTGCAGGTTCCACATCTGTGGGTTCAACCAACCACAGATAGAAAATATAAAACAAAGCTGGGCACAATAGCTAATGCCTGTAATCCCAGTACTTTGGGAGGCTGAGGCAGGTGGATCACTTAAGGTTAGGAGTTTGAGACCATCCTGGCCAACATGGTGAAACTTCGTCCCAACTAAAAATACAAAAATTAGTTGGGTGTTGTGGTGCACGCCTGTAGTCCCAGCTACTCAGAAGGCTGAGGCAAGAGAATCACTTGAATCTGGGAGGTGGAGGTTGCAGCAGTTGCCACTGCACTCCAGCCTGGGTGATAGAATGAGACTCTGTCTTAATTTAAAAAAAAAGAAAAAGAAAATATAAAACAAAAAGCCAACCTCCTATAACAAAACAATAAAAATAATAAAAAAACAATATAGTATAACAACTATTTGCATAGCATTTACATTTTATTAGGTATTACAAATAATCTAGAGATGATTTGAAGGATATGAGAGGATGTGTGTAGGTTATATGAAAATAATATTCCATTTTATATAAGGAACTTGAGCATCTGTGGATTCTGATATCCATGGTGATGCTGGAGCTAATCCCCTGCAGATACTGAGGGATAGCTATGTTGTAGGTATATGTACATACACACATACACACACACACACACACACACACATCCTTTTGATTCTGTGATCCTATGATCACATATATACATACATAAACACACATACACATAGAGTAAAAATAGTTAATCAGGATGATGTATCCAGAAAAAGCCACTTGAGAGCAAGGTGTATGTATAGCACAAATGTTTTAAAATAATTACAAATTAACTATGAGAAACATCTAGTTTACTACAGTTAAAAAACAAAAAAGCAGAGGCTTGGAAAGCTGCATTCACAGAGAAGGGCTCGAATGAGATTATAGATTTTATGTCTCCAAGTCTACTCCTGAAATGATAGATAGCTAAGGATACTAATTTAAGAATATTTATTGAAGACAAAATGTCCAGGTGATACTCCCAAGACTTCAAACACTTATCTGTTATTAATTCATAGAGTATTAGAGAAACTTTCTATGACTTGACAGTTTATAAAGCTAAAAGATAATTTTATGTACAATAAGAGATAATTTTGTATACAATCTGTGAAGATCACTGCTAAGTAATATTTAACTATGTATGACAAAAATGATCGAGAATAATCAAAATAATAAAAAAAGATTATTAGTGAATATGATGTCATGTAAGACCACTTGCTATCTAGTGAAATATAGCCTAAACATAGTAAGTATTAAAATAAACACAGAACTATAACATTATAAAAACTTTCACATGTATGACCTTATTTGTTCTTCACAAATCCCCACAAAGCAGATACTATCCTATTTTACAGATGATAACCCTGAGGGAAAGAAAGCACTCCAATGTTTACAGATCAGGGAGGTAGGGAAAAATCATCAAAGGAGACTTGAGAAGAAGAAAATACTGGAAAGAAAACCAGGTGAGTATGGTATCCTAGAAGTCAAGTGAAAATCACTGTTTCAAGAAGGAAAGAGTGTTCAGCTCTAGCAAATGTAACAGGTTGGATGACACAGGCACTGATCACTGGAGTGAGAAATGTGAATGCTATTTGTGGCCACAATAAGAACATTTTTGGAGAAGCTGTGGAGGTGAAAATCTACAGTGAGGAGAGTGAATCAGGGCTGAGTGTGGTGGCTCACATCTGTAATCCCAGGCTTCAGAGGCTGTGTTGTGAGGATCAGTTAAGCCCAGGAATTTGAGAGCAGCCTGGGCAACATAGTGAGACCCCATCTCTACAAAATTAAAAAATATTAGCCGAGCACGGTGGCACAGGTCGGCAGTCCCTGTTGCTTGGGAGGCTGAGGTGAGAGGATCACTGGAGTGTGGAAGAATCAAGACTGCAGTAAATGGTGATAGTGTCTCTGCATTCCAGCCTAGGTAACAAATGAAGACCCTGTCTTAAAAAACAAACAAACAAAAAAAGAGTGAACCAGAAGAGAGGTATTAGATAAAATTAGAACACAAAATTTTCCAAGTGTTCTTCTGTAGATGGAAGGAAAAAATGGAGGAACTGGATCAAGGGAGAAGTGAGGAAAGAAGATGGCTTTCGCTTAGTTTTCTTAGGATGGGAAATATAGCAGCATATCAGTAGGCTGAAGAAAGGAACCGAGTGGAGAAGGAGAAATTGATGATGCAGAAGAGAGAACTGCTGGAATAATATCCCCAAGGAGGTAAGGGATGGGATCTGAGGCACAAGTGGGAAAACTGGCTTAGTCAGGAGTTCATGGCAAGAACAGAGAAGGTAAGGTGTGTGAGCCCAGATACAGAAGGACAGCAGATATGGTGGCAAGACATTGTGATATTTTCTTCTCATGGCTTCCGTTTTCTCAGTTGAATGACAGTAAACTGAGAATGAAGTTGGAGGAGACAGAGCTAAATTCTTGACATTATTAAAAGCCCTATAACATCATAAGTTTAATTATTTACTTACATTTATTTATTTTGAGACGGAATCTCACTATGTCATTCAGGCTGGAGTGCAGTGGCATAATCTGGGTTCCCTGCAACCTCCACCTCCAAAGTTCACGTGATTCTCCTACCTCAGCCTCCCAAGTAGTTGGGACTACAGGCATGCGTCACCACTAATTTTTGCCCAGTTATAATTTTGTATTTTTAGTAGAGATAGGGTTTTGCCATGTTTGCCAGGCTGGTCTTGATCTTCTGGCCTCAAGTGATGTGCTTGACTCGGCCTCCCAAAGTGCTTGGATTATATGCATGAGCCAACATCCCTGGGCCTTAATGCCTTGAATTTAAAGGCTGAATATTCCACAGCTATATTCAGATACAAAGGTACAGGTGCTAGAGAAATCAGAGTTGTTATTAACCACAATAATGGTTTTACCAAGGTGGGTAGGGGGAGGCACAGGACCTAATGGTGGAAGTAATGATTGGGATAATGGGATAATGATACATAAAACAGATTAGGAGGAAAGATAGGACATGAAGGGGGAGAACAACAGTGAAAAGTCTTAAGTCAAACTGACAGTCCTGGTGAGATCAAAGGATTGCTGGAGTTGAAGTGCTACAGGGAGTGAACTGGAAGGAAAAGAGGAGGTGGACAGATGGGTGTCCAAAGTGAGTTTATGGAAAGGTGGTAGTTAATAATTAGGTTAAGAGATTAAACATGGGAGAGAATTACTGAGGTAGAGAAGACCTAGAAGAGTCTGCCTTCAAAACATAAACCCCATAAAAGTCTGCATTTTGATCTAGTAATTAAAATGTTTAGTTTGGACCTGGGCACAGTGGCTTACATTTGTAATTCCAGTAACTTGGCAGGCTGAGGTAGGAGGATTGCTTGAGGACAGGTATGAGACCATTCTAGGCAACATAGCAAGACTATCTCTCAAAAAAAAAAAAAAAAAAAAAATTAGCTGGCTGCAGTGCACACCTGTAGTCTCAGCTACAAAATTGAGGCCAGAGGATTGCTTGAGCCCAGAAATTTTAGGCTGTAGTGGGTTATGATCATACTACTGCACTCCAGCCTGGGCAACTGAGACCCTGTATTAAAAAAAAAATAAAAAGGTAAAATAAAATAAAAAGTTTAGTTTTAGATCAGTCTTACCTTAGCAATGCAAGCTGGACAAAACCAGTCTCCATCTGGGATAGTTGTAATCTTGGGTCTATGGCAGTATGTATGACAGCCTTTGTCACAACCATCACAAAGAAGAAGCAGTTCTTCATTATCTCCCTTTCGACAGATTTGGCAGTACTATAATACACGAAAAATCATTTAAAATTAACCCTCTGCTATGAATAATAGTTATTGGGATGTTAAACACACCATAATTCCTATTTTTTATTAGTGCTGAACATTCATTCCGCTTGCTAACAAATATACAGTAGCCATACACATCTATGTATCTTTCGTTACACAGATATGGACCACATGACGGGTGAGCAGTTCTATTGGGGTATATGCACATTTCAAGTACACTGCAAAGAACAAAGCTAGAGGCAGGATGCCTGCACACACTTCAGAAGCATGTACACATTAACATATGAAATAATTAACACGACATTAGAGCACATAAAGCAATGAATAGCTTTAATACATGGTGTTTTATTTGTTTAATGTGCTTCATCTTTTGCTTATCTTAGAGCATCCTCACGATATCCTGAGAAAGAAATAAGAGTTAGAGTAATTTTTAGAATCAAAATTAGCAAAGTTGTATTAGTATAATTAAGTATAATAAAAAGATAACCCTACATTTTTGACTAATTCATCTATATTTTGTGATAGATGGGAAAATGTGTTCAAACCAGGAAACTTTGAAAATCAACCCAAATCAAACATGTGTCACAAGTGCAGAAAACGGATCCTACAAAATAGTTTCTAAAGAAAAAAAGATACATTTAAGAAATTAAGAGGTCATTATTTTTTAGAATTAAAAATAAAACTGTTTTCTACTGAAAATTTTCTAATATATTTAAAAACTTTAAATCTGCAAAGAGAAGACTTCTTCCATGTACACATATCCTGTATATTAAGTTTTACAAAGGAAAGAAGAAAAGTTAGACAAGTAAAAACTTTCAAGATGGCTTTAAAAAATGGTGAGCACTAATATTATTTTTTTGACATTTAGTTCATATTCCAGTCACAAAAGAAAATGTTCAGCAATCAATATTTTTTAAAATGAAAACACTTAACAAGAAATCATTTAAACTACTTTAAAGTTAGGTATTTATATGCTCTTAAAAACAAAATAGAATAACTGTTCAAACTTACTTTAATTTTCAATGCAATATTATATCTTAGTCTGGGAAAGTATAAAACGGTCTTCTGATCTAACTTAGTATGTATACCAATGATAGTTTTAGAATCTTATCTAAACAGCAGATACATACTATTCAAGTTAACAAATATTTATCAAATGTATATACTATATATTTCATAGTAAAATTGGCATGGTTACCAAGAGCAAAAGCAGCAGAGTTTACCATTCCAACAATCAGTATCTATTCTATGACCTTTTCTAACATCACCATCACTGAATACCTTAAGATGGTGTTATTTCTCCATATTTGAATTACATCGTTACAACTTCTATTGTAAAAATATTCACTGAGAGATAACAATTGCAAGGTTATATTTATATCCCTATAACAACAGAATTTAAAAATCAGTTTCATGAATGTAAGTAAATACTCATTGTTTTCTCTACTAGGCAACTAAAAATACTACAAGGTCTGTCTTACATTTCATACTTAGGATTTAAAAATAAAATTATTTTCTAATACTTTTAAAGAAAGGGTGACAGATATCAAACTCATAAGAATTTTGAAAAATTACAGTAACAACTCACAGTGTTATGGTAAATATATTAATATTTGATTTTAATTCCTTTGCTACTACAGTAAAAAACAGTGGATGCTGCCTATTGTTTAACAACAATATAAAGCATACTGTGGGTAGAGAGTTATCTGGAGACAAATTATAACAACTCCCTCTTTTTCTTGGTAAGCTTGGTTTCTGTCCAACAGGGTATTTCTAAAGATATTGCGCACTTTAATATTTTATTAGGAATTACTATGAGGATTATTATAGGCACTGTTATGTCTCTAAAGGTTATAAAGTGCTCTTAATCTTTAACTATAAAACACTGCCTTCTTTTCAAGGTAGTTCCATAGCAAAAAAACTGTATTATTCAGCATTTGAAAAAGGAAATGGAGATTGTGAGGGATGGAGCTAAATGATAAGTGTATATGTAGAACGGAAAGGTGAATGGATCTGCAAAAATGGAAATAAAGCTTTACATTGCAGAATTTAAATACATCAATATAAAAGCAGGTTTTGATACAAGTTTTAGGTTTCTGTGTATCAGTTTATAATAAAACTGAACACATCATGATGATTGCTTTGATGTAGATGAGAAAAAATATAACTATAAATTTCATTCTGATCTAGGACTTAATCTTTTTTTTTAATGTTATTTACAGACAAGGTCTCATTATGTTGCCCAGACTATAGTGCAGTGGCTATTCTCAAGTGTGATCATTGTACACTATAGCCTCAAACCCTTGGGCTCAAGCGATCAGCCTGCCTTTGCTTCTGGAGTAGCTGGGACTACTGGCATGCACCACCATACCTGACAAGAACTTAGTTTCAGTCTCTCTCTCTCTCTTAAAAAAAAAAAATCATTATTGCCTAGATCTTACCAAATATATTTTTCTAAGGTGACTTTAAAGCTGGTTTCAGTAATAGTTTTTAGAAGAAAAAAAAATCTGTACCTGGTAAAAACGCTATGAAATGAATCGAACAGTGCCTTAAAATTTATAGTAAATTCTGGGCCAAGTGCAGTGTAACATGCCTGTAATCTCAGCACTTTGGGAGGTCGAGGCAGGTGGGCAGAGCATTTGAGTTCAGGAGTTTGAGACCAGCCTGGCCAACATGGTGAAACACTACCTTTACTGAAAATACAAAAATTAGCTGGGCATGGTGGTGCATGCCTGTAATTCCAGGTACTCAGTAGGCTGAGGCAGGAGAATCACTCAAACCCAGGAGACCAAGGTAGCAGTGAGCTGAAATTGTGCTACTGCATTCCAGCCTGGGCAACAAAGGCTCCGTTTAAAAAAATATTATAGTAAATTCCAATCTGAATTGAGAAAGACCTGTATTGGAGCACATTGTGAAAGTGCAAATTCATTATTCCATAGATATTTTAGGAAACAGTGAAAAACCATAGAAGAAACATAATTTATTTGTGTGGAATTAATAAGGCCTTGAGTAGTCGAAGCATAAAGGTAAAAATGGGACAAAGAATGCTCAGTTATTTAACAATCACTTCTTCAGGAAAACAACCATTTTAGGTAAAGGAATTTCACCTTTAGTCATTCATGAAAAGGAATCTCAAATGTTGACAAGTTAAAGCTAGTCTGTCAAAAGTAAATGGTGGCTGGGTGCAGTGACTCATGCCTGTAATCCCAGCACTTTGGGAGGCCGAGGCAGGTGGATCACCTGAAGACAGGAGTTTGAGAACAGCTTTGCCAACATTGTGAAACACCATGTCTTCTAAAAATACAAAAATCAGCGAGGCATGGTGGTAGGTGCCTGTAATCCCAGCTACTCGGGAGGCTGAGGCAGGAGAATCACTTGAATCCAGGAGGCAGATCTTGCAGTGAGCTGAGATTTTGCCACTGCATTCCAGCCTCAGTGACAGAGTGAGACTCCGTCTCAAAAAAGAAAAAAAAAAATAAATGTTAAAGTAATTCCTAAAAGACTACATATAATAGATACTTCTATATATGATATACAAAAGAGACAAGAGGGACACTTGTACATGATTTAAAATAAATATTTCTCTGGAAAACATGAATTATGGCTCTTTATTTTGAACACACAGCATTTTGGTGCCTGGCACAAAACAGAGATTTACCACATAATAAGCTAATTGGGCTTAGAGAAGGGTGAAAAACCAGTTTTAATTAGTAAAGGAAAGACTAAAGGATCTACTATTCATGTTAATCACATCCGACACCAAACAAATAAACTAATAGTTCTTTGCTTATTTTGTATGTACTTATGTAAGTGCTCCTGAGAATTAAAAATGAAAACTGATAGAAAAAGATGTTTTAGCAATGCAGTAATATAGCAGGTAATGTTAACAATGCAACTGTTTACAAGAGTGAAACGGCCTTCAAGATTTAGATTAACAACTATTATGCTGATGGAATGTAGGAGACAACTTCAGTTAGAATATATAAACAATATTCAAAGGAGGCAGAAGCAAGATTTTAACAAAAAAGATAACACATTTGAAAGTTTCCTTCAATAAGGAGGAAAGTATCAAAAATCTTTTAGAATTAGAAAAACTCTCAAGTATAGCATACATTATTATGACAATAGGTAATGTGCAATTAAGAAAGATCTGGAGGTTGGAAGAAACAGGACAAAGTAAATTAGTTATAGTATTTCTTAAATAAAAACACTTACAACTTTCATAATTGATTTTTCCCATGCTATTGATTTCTGTAATTGCTGAATGCACAGAGCTACCTGTGCAGCACTGCGAGCTTCTGATACTGCCCTTCTCCATACCCTGAGCCCTGGAGCAATATCCTCTTCAATTCTGCATTGAAATATAGAAAAATTAAGTAGGTCATGTCCACACTTACGATTACTGAATGTGAAACAGTCATCACATTGAAAGCCAAGCAATGACAAAAACATGTAACAGCCAATAAGTATAAGGTTTAAGCAACTAAATTTGATGTAGTGCACAGACTGTGGCTACGTGCCTCAAAGCTTAGTCACAACCGGGTAAATGTAAGATCACTTTGCAGGATTATCAACGCACATAACAAAAAAAAAAAAGTTTTTACAAAGCACCATGCAAATAGCATGATCCATATGGATCACAGACATACAAGAAGATACATAGATAACAGGCAATAGAAAATAGGCTCCAATTAGCAAAGAAGCACAATAATTTTTCAAGTTAATCTCAAAAACCTACCCGTCACCATCACCACTAATGGATGGTGCAGGAGCAGGGACAGTAACTGTGCCCACATTATCCAGTTTGATCTGAATGGTGGTACTTAAGGGGCTCTTCAGATACCTTCTTTCAATGTTCCGCTCCAAATCAGCCAGCCTGGTTACAGCTATATCTAGGGGGTTGTCACTCTTCCGTTCTAGTGCATGTGCACTGTTTTCTTCTTCGCCAGTAAATTCTCCATCATGCTCCTTGCACAATTTAGTAAATGACTTATGTTCAAAATATACCAAGTCCTCCCTTTCTGATGCAGGCTCTGGACACATCCAACCCTATATATCAAGAGAATACTGTTATTATGGTTTCCTCTTAAAATGCCAGATGGCTGAATTACCTTTACTTAAAATACAGTATTGGATACTGGCAGATCTCAAGGATCATTACTAAAAGTTTTTACACCTTGTGTTTCCTAAAATTAGGTAGAAATAAAAACAAAAAATTAAAAGGAATAGTTTTAAGAAAAGTTTGAAAAATAAAATTTATAAACTTTTGCTATTATGAAAGGTATAAAAAAATCAGCCAAATATTTTGTAAGATTTTAGATTAAAATGCTTATTGGTTTCATGGGCTCACTTAAATGGCAATGTCTGGGTAGCCTCTGAGCTTTGCTCTTCCTTTCTGTTTTCATCCTTCCATCATTCTTCTGTACAGGGTCCTTCTGTGTTCAACATTTTTCCTTTGACTGCAGAGGCTTCGTATATGCTATTACCTTTATTGCTTTTCCTTGCTCCTCTTCATCTAGTTAATGCCACTCATTTTGTAGCTCTCATGTTAAGATTCACTTCAACAAGAAAGGATCCCCAATAGAAATCCTTTCCTGACCTCTTTCAGGAGCTAAGTCCCTCTCTGACAGGTTCTCATAGGATCATACTCCTTAGCCTTGTCATAAACTCAATTTTATACTAGTGTAATTATTTGATGAATACTTTTCTACTTCTAAATTCCATGAGGGCAGGGACTATGTCTGCTTTTACTCATTTATTTCCAGTACAGTGCTGGCAAACAATGGGCACTCAATACATATATCTTGATTGAATAATCAATAATCCTGTAGCTTAAAATCCTTCAAAGATTTCCTATTCTTTAGCAAATGTTTGCCATAGCATTCAAGTACCTCAATCTATCCCTTTTCATGTTCCCATTCACAAATCTTATGTTGCAGTCAAATTCTATAACTTGCTAGTCCACAAACACAGGATAAGCTTCCCAATCCTTGTACTCTGTACATGCTATTCCCATTTCCTAGTATGATATTCCCTAGTCTCTAACTGTCCAAACCATACTCATTTTCTTAAGTTCCATTTCAACTTCTACATGAAATCTTCCATGATCTCTTCCATATTTCTGCCAGAAGTCAGTCTTTTTCTAAATTAATGCATTACTCTGTTCTCAACAATCAGTTACTAGATTCTGCATATGTATACATCTTCGCTCTCTATTATATGAGAAGCTTTCTGATGGTAGGAATAACATTTTATCCAATTTTTTGGTGTCCACTGCCTGAGATGAAATAGGTATTAAATAAATGCATATTAAATAAAAAACAGAATGAAATTAAACATCTCTTCAGATATAATTATTTTATATTATATACTAGGATCAGTTCTTCCCCTTTAACTCAGTAGAGTATTTATATTTAGAAAGGAAGGATGGACTCTAAAATGGTGGCACAGATGCAAGCTGGCTTCAATTCCTGCCCCCACTGACCCCCTGACCCTGCCGCCAACAACCTAGAAAACCAAAAACAAACACAAGGCACTGAGATGATCACCAGTGATATACCAAAATTGAAACATGAGGATGAGACAGTTCCTGAGGCAAGAGAGAAGTAAAAAATCTCTGAGTAGATGGCAAGAGAATTAAAATTCCACATCCACAATGCCTCTCTACCCTCATTCTGCTGGGTACCAAGCACACAGAAAATTTCTCCCCAACTCACAGTTTCTACACTGAAAAAAGTAAGATCAAGGTAGACAAACAACTTATCCACTATGAAAAACAGTGTGACAGTTCCTCAAAAATCTAAAAATATAACTACCCTATCATCTAGCAATTCCATTAGTGGATATACATAGAAAAGAAAGAAAATCAATATATGGAAAAGATATTGGTACTACCTACTTACTGCAGCAATATTCACAATAGTTAAAATATGGAATCAACCTAAATGCCCATCAACAGATGAATGAATTAAAAATGCAGTACATTTACAGGACAGAATATCATTTAGTCATAAAGAAGAATGAAATCCTGTCATTTGCAGCAACATAGATGGAACTGGAGGATATCATGCTGGGTGAAATAAGCCAGATACAGAAAGACAAATTATTATATGTTCTCACTCATATGTGAGAACTAAAAAAACTACTTTACTCTAGAATGTAAAGAGTAGATTGGTGGTTACTAGAGGCTGAGAAGGGTAGGGAGAGAGGGAGATTAAGATAAATTGATTAATAGGTACAAATACATGGTTTGACAGAAAAAATAGGAAAATATATAAAGACAACTCAACAAAATCAGGAAAACAATTCATGATTTGAATAAGAAAAATTGACAAAGAAACAGATATAAAAAAGAACCAAACAGAAGTTCTAGAGCTAAATAATCCAATGAATAAAATAAGAAATACAAGACTAGACCGAAAATACAGACTAGACCAAGGAAAAGAAAGAATTTCTGAACCCAAAGACAGTATTTTGAAATAACAGAGGCAGACCAAGGTGGGGGGGGGGAAGGAAATAAAGGAAAACAAAGAAAAAGGAAAAAAGAGAGAAAAAGCCTATAGAATTTATGGGACACCATTAAGCAAACACATATTCTTGTGGGTGTTACAGAAGGTATAGAGAAAAGGTGAGGAAAACAAATTTAATGAAATAATAGTAGAAAACTTCCGATGTCTTGGGAGAAAGATGAAAATTCAGGTCTAGGAAGCTCGAAGAATCCCAAGAAATTCAACCCAAACAGGTCCTCTCTGAGGCACATTATAGTTAGCCTATAAGAAGTCAAAAGATAAAGAATTCTGAAAACATTAAAAGAAAACTGTCAAGTCACATATAATGAAATCTCCATTAGACTAACAGCAAATTTCTCAGCAGAAACCTTACAGGCAAGGAGAGAATGGGATGATATATTCAAAGTATATAGAGAAAAAACCCTGCCAGCCAAAAATTTTATACCCAGCAAAGCTTGCCTTCAGAAATGAAGGAGAAAAAAAGTCTTACAGACTGAGGGAAACTAAAGGAATTCATCAGCACTAGACTGGACATGCAAGAAATGCTCAAGCAGTCTTACATCTGAAAGTACAAAGATGATAATCACCATCATGAAAACATACTATAAAACTCACTGGGAAAGCTAATACAGAAAGGAGAAAGAGAAAGAAAGAAAATTATTATACACATAATCTTAAAAAGCCTGATGATAAACAGTATCCCTATGAAAAAAAACCCAGCCAAAACAATAAATATGTAATAAGCAAGGAAGTAAGGAACGAAGGATTGTGGAAAACAACTGAAAAGCCATCAATAAAATGATAGGAGTAAGCACTCACCTATCAGTAGTAACCCTGAATGTAAATTAATTAAATTTGCCATTTAAAAGACATAGACTGGCTGGCTGGATTAAAAAAAAAAAAAAAACCAACAATGCCCAACTATATGCTGCCTAGAAGAAACTCCCCTCACCTATAAGAGATATGAGGACTGAAAGTGAATGGATGGATAGAAATATCCCATGCAAATGAAAACCAAAAGTGAATAGGAATAGGTATACTTATGTCAGATTAAAAAAAAAAACCCCTTCAAGTTAAACACTATAAAAAGAGGCAAAGAAGGACATTATATAACAACAGGATCAATTCAACAAGAGAATATAATAATTATAAATATGTATACACATAATACCAGAGCACTCAGATATATAAAGCAAATATTATTAGATCCAAATGTAGAGGTAGGTCCTAATATTATAATGGCTGGAGATTTCTACATTCTACTCTCAGTATTAGATAGATTTTCCAGACAGAAAATCAACAAAGAAACATCGAATTCAATCTGTACCATAGACCAAATGGACACTTACAGAACATTTCATCCACCAGCTACAGAATACACATTCGTTTTATCAGCACATGAAACATATGCCAGGACTGACCATATGTTAAGACTCAAATCTCAAAATATTTTAAAAATTTGAAATCATATCAAGTATCTCTTCTGACTACATGGAAAAAAAACTACAACAAAAAGAGGAACATTTGAAACTATACAAATACATGAAAATTAAACAATACGGTGCTGAACAACTACTGGTAAAGGAAGAAATTAAGAATGAAATTTTAAAATTTCTTGAAATAAATGAAAATATAAAAACAATATTCCAAAACATATGGGACCCAGCAAAAGCAGTCTTAAGAGGCAAGTTTATATCAATAAATGCCTACATCAATAAAGTAGAAAGATTTCGAGTAAACAATTTAGCAATGCCCTTCAAGGAACTAGAAATGTAAGAACAAACCAAACCCAAAGTTAGTAGAAGGAAAGAAACAATAAGGATCAGAGCAGAAATAAACAAAATTGAGACAAAAATACAAAAGAATCAATGAAACAAAAAGTAAGTTTTCCTAACAATAAAATACTTAGGAATGCAGCCAACCAGGGTGGTGAAAGATCTCTACAATGAGAATTACATAATACTGCTCAAAGAAATCAGCGATGACACAGATGGAAAAACATCCCATGCCTATAGATAGGAAGAATCAGCATCATTAAAATAGCCAAACTGCCCAAAGCAATTTACAGATTCAATGCTATTCCTATCAAACTACCAATGACATTCTTCACAGAACCAGAAAAAACTATTTAAAAATTCATATAGAACCAAAAAAGAGCCCAAACAGCCATGGAAACTCTGCCTCCTGGGCTCAAGCCTTTCTCCAACCTCAACCTGTCAAGTAGCTGGGACTATAGGCACGTGCCACCATACCCAGCTAATTTTTGTATTTTTTTTTGTAGAGATGGAGTTTTGCCATGTTGCCCAGGCTGGTCTCAAACTCCTGAGTTCAAGTGATCTTCTCACCTCGGCCTCCCAAAGTTCTAGAATTACAGGCATGAGCCACTGTGTCTGGCCTTGGCAGCATTTTGATACATGAACAACAAATTTTTGCTGAAGAAGAAATCAAGAAGGTAATCCCATTTACAATAGATACCAAACAAACAAACAAACAAAAACTAAAACAAAAACAAAAACCCAACCCTAGGAATCAATTTTAACCAAAGAAGTGAAAGACCTCTACAAGGAAAACTAAAACACTGATGAAAAAAACTGAAGAGGATAAGAGGATACAACCATGCTTATGGATCAGAAGAATCAATATTATTAAAATGACAATACTACCCAATGGAATCTACAGATTCAAGCACAATCCCTATCAAAACACTAATGACATTTTTCACAGAAATAAAGAAAAAATATTAAACTTTGTGTGGAATTACAAAAGACTGAATAGCTAAAGCAATCCTGAGCAACAAGAACAAAGTTGGAGGTATCAGACTACCAAGGCCTCGAAATAAACTACAAAGCTGTAGTAACCAGAACAGCATGGTACTGGCATAAAAACTGACACATAGACCAATGGAATAGAATAGAAAACCCAGCATGCTGGACATGGTGGCTCACACTTATAATTTCAACACTTTGTGAGGCTGAGGTGGGCAGATCATGAGGTTAGGAGATCGAGACTATCCTGGCCACGGTGAAACCTGTCTCTATTAAAATACAAAAATTAGCCAGGTATGGTGATGCATGCCTGTAATCCCAGCTACTCAGGAGGCTGAGGCAGGAGAATTGCTTGAACCTGGGAGGTGGAGGTTGCAGTGAGCTGAGATAGCACCACTGCACTGCAGTCTGAGCAACAGAGTGTGACTCCGTCTCAAAACAAACAAACAAACCCAGAAATCAATCCACAACTCTACAACCCATCTGCTTTTTAACAAAGGTGCCAAGAATGCTCATTGTGAAAAGAATGAGTTTCTTCAATAAATGGTGCTAGGAAAACTGGATATCCATATGTAGAAGAATGAAACTAGAGCCCCATCTCTTATCCTATACAAAATCAACTCAAATAGATCAAAGACCTAATGGAAGATCCCAAATGATAAAACACTAGAAGAAACAGGACATTGGTCTGGGAAAATATTTTATATATAAAACCTCAAAAGCACAGGTAACAGAAGCAGAAATAAACAGATGTGATTATATAAAATGAAAAAACTGTACAGCAAAGGAAAATTCAAGAGTGAAAAGAAAACCCACAGAATGGGATAAAACATTTGCAAATAATACATATGCAAGGAGATTAATATCAAGGATATAGAAAGAACGCAAACATCTTAACAGCAAAGAAACAAACAGTCTGATTAAAAATGGGCAAGTGATCTAAACAGACATTTCATAAAAGAAGACATATACATGGCCTACAAATATATGTAAAAATGCTCAACATCACTACTCATCAGGGAAATGCAAATTAAAACCACAATGAGGTATTATCTCACCCCAGTTAGAATGGCTATTACCAAAAAGAAAAAAAAATGAGATGCTGTAAGAATGCATAGAAAAGGGAACTCTTACATACTGTTGGTGGGAATATAAACTAGCACAGCCATTGCGGAGAAGAGTATGTAGGTTCCTCAAGAAACTATGAATAGAGCTATCACATGATCCAGCAACCTACTACTGGGAATTTATCCAAAGGAAAAGAAAATTGTTGTAATGAAGAGACATGTTTACTTCAGCACTATTCAAAATAGCTAAAATACAGAATGAATCCAGGTGTTCAACAACAGATGAATGGATAAAGAATATGATACAACCATAAAAAGAATGAAATATCCTGTCATTAGAGGCAACATGGATGGAACCAGAGGATATTATTTTAAGTGAAATAAGCCAGGCACACACAAAGTTAAACACTCTATGTTCTCACTCATGTGGAAGCTTAAAAGAAAAGTTGATCTCATAGATGTAAAAAGTAGAACAGAGGATACTAGAGGCTGGGAAAAGCAGGGGTAGGGAGGCATAAAGAGAGAGTTGTTAAAGAATACAAAATTACTGTTAGGTAGGTAGAAGTTGTAGTGCTCTATATTACTGTAGGATGACCATAGTTAAAATATATTTTTTCAAATAGCTAGAGGAAGATATTGAGTATTCTTAACAGAAAAAAAAGGTAAATGTTTGAGATAATGAATATGCTAATTACTCTTATCTGATCACTATACATTACATGTGCCAAAACATTAACATATACTCCATGATACTGTACATTATTATTTATAAATTTAAACAATTTATAAAGCAAATTTTACTTATCTTAGCTACTGAGAACACAGCCAAGAACATTTGAGCAGCCAGCAATGTGATAAGGTCAATGGACCAAAATCTGAGTATGTCACCAGGAAAATGTTTCAGGCGCACACTCTGATTTTACACATAATTTCTAAAAGCCTGATGATATACTTTCCCAATCAACAGTCATTTAGAATTGACAAATGATATGGGAAAAAGCTGGAGGAAAATAAGGCTTGTGGAACCAATCAAATTTAAACCAGCAAGTAGCAACAACTGACAAACTGAGAGGTCAACCACAGACTACAGAAAGCAGATCTAACAGTTTTAAAAGCAAAGCATACTAAGATCATTTAGGTTAGGGGCAAAACCTCTTCTTGTTTCCTGAGGGAATTTTTGTCTAATAATTGGTCTTCAAACTGAAGATCCTTTGTCACCAGGATAATTTAAATCAGTCTTGTTATTTTCAATTTAAGAAGGTAGTGACATGTGTAATATAAGCATTCCAAAAACATGTTAAAAATTATAGCACTAAATGGAATAATTTTCATTTCTCTAGAAAATAAAATAGTGTGAAAGGGTTCATTTGTTGAAGATGCTAGATAGATGAGAATACATGAGGCACATTTACACTGTATTATAGTACCAGGAGGAGGAGACACATAGTTTACTAGCACAATAGTTTCAGCAAATAATAAATTTTTGCTTCCCAAGGTTGGTATTACGTTCGTCACAAGAAAGGGATATTTTATTAGCTCTGGAAAACTACATTTTTTGAGATCTTCAGAAGTGTTCAAATGCCACATGTTAAACTAATTATAAAGCAAAATCTCAATTATTGAAAAGGATAGCATTATGCCATAAATTTCTCATTCTGAATAAAGCATGGCATTTCGAATCAAATTACATGGAGATTAAATTTTCTAAACCTTTAAAACCTTAGCAGTTTCTGGCCAGGCATGGTGGCTAATGCCTGTAAGCTCAGCATTTCGGGAGGCCAAAGTGGGTGGATCACTTGAGGTCAGGAGTTTGAGGCCAGCCTGGCCAACGTAGCAAAACCCCATCTCTACTAAAAATACAAAAGTTAACGGGGCATGGTGACATGTACCTTGGAAGCCTGAGGCAGGAGAATTGCTTGAACCTGGAGGTGAAGGTTGCAGTGAGCTGAGATCAAGCCACTGTACTCTGGCCTGGGTGCTAAAGTGAGACTCCATCTCAAAAACAAACAAACAAAAATCTACCAAAACCCAAAACTGAACCTTAGCAGGTGCTAAACCTTTCATGCTTTTAAGGAGAACTTATATACCCTCCCTCTTTACAAAACCAAAAATTCTTCCACAAGGGTAAAGTTTTCCTTTTGTTTGTCCACTGGAAGCCAGTTCTGATCATTATCCATGATATGAAAATGCCCAGAAAATAGACGAATGAATGAATGAATAAATAAGTAAATAAAAACTTTACATATATATATAGGGTATGTGTGCATGTGTCACTGCATCTATAACATATATTTGGATATATCTATATTGGTCTCCAAATTAAACTATATAGTGTAAAAGTCTGACATATACCATGGCTTGTATATAAGGAAATTCATGGCTCTATATGACACACTACAATAGGAGTTTGAAAAGATTTGTACTAGATCATCACATTCATCTTGGTGAAACTGGAATTCCGCTGGTAGTAAAGAACTAAGCATCAGAAATAATACTTCTAAATATCATTAAGGAGGCGGAAAGATTACTAAAAAGGACATGGGGTCTGGAGTCAGACTTCATTTAAATGCACCTTTAGGCACTTACTATATGACCACTGGCACATTATTTACTCTGAACCTGGTTCCTTACTAGATGGGGGAAATTAATCCAGGATTGTTTTCAGAATTAAATGAGATAAAGTAAAAACATTTAGCACATTAACCAGCATATATTAGGCATGTAATACATATTAGTTACCTTCCATTATCCTAAAAACAGATTTTTTTCCAAATCGATTTTACCTTCACTTGTAAACTTGCTGATGCAACTCTTCTTTCTAGATCTTCTACCTGTTGAAGGACACTCAAATCCATTTCCATTGCTTGTTCTTCTACTGACCAGTTCTCCACAATATCTCGAGTTACATGGTTTTCTTCATTTTCATTCAGTTCAATAATAGCAACTATATTTTAAAAGAAATTAATTTAAAAATCCACTTATTAAGATTTTTCCCTTCAGAGATTTCTTCCAGAAAGTGAATAAAATTCTAAGGGGGCCATGTACATCTAACTTGACATACACAAATACACTATGTACAGGCAGCTTACTCTTAAAAGTAGAAACACCATAAAAAACACAAAACAGTATGTCTGCAGGTGTAAAAAATTACAAGACAGTAAATATCAATTTAAAAAATATAAATAGTTCGTTGAGTAAAACAGAAAAAAAATAGTAGTGAATTAAGATATCGTTTGCTTCTAGATACCTGTGGGGAATTGGTTCTAGGACACCTCCCAACCCCATGAATACCAAAACCTACAGATGCTCACATCCCTTATAAAAAATGGCGTTGGCCAGGAGTGGTGGCTCATGCCCATAATCTTAGCACTTTGGGAAGCTGAGGTGAGAGGATAACGTGAGGCCAGGAGTTCAAGACCAGCCTGGGTAACATAGTGAGACCCTGTCGATACAAAAAATTAAAAAAAAAAACTTGCTGGATGTGGTGGCATGTGCCTGTAGTCCCAGCTACTCAGAAGGCTGAGGCAAGAGGATTGCTTGAGCTCAGGACTTCGAAGCTGCAATCAGCTATGAATGCACCACTGTTCTCTAGCCTAGGTGACACTGTGAGACTCTCTCACCAAAAAAAAAAAAAAAAAAAGGTGTACTATTTGCATGTAATCTACATACATCCTCCTGTATGCTTTTATTTCTAGGTTACTTACAGTACCTACGACAATGTAAATGCTATGGAAATAGTTGTTATACTATATTATTTATAGAAGAATGATAAGGAAAAAAAGTCTGTACATGTTCAGTACAGATACACCCATCTTTCTTTTCTTTGAATCCGTTTGATCTGCAATTGGTTGAATCTACAGATGTGGAACTCATGAGTATAAAGGACCAGTAGGCTGTGCTAAAATATGCTTAGAATAAAATAATTCTTATAACTAAGCAAGAAAGCTGACATCTTTTTTAGGTACATACCATCCTTATTCTTGATGCAGGCTTGAGTAATATAATCCAAATGTTTCTGAATTTGTTTTTGTAATGCCTTTTCTCTTATTCCTCTGAGATGCAGCACTTTGAGCAAAGCTTTTAGGTCCTCTGGGTCAATAATTCTCCACCAACCAAACTGCATTTCTAAGTCAAGACCAATAAGTAGATCTTTTACAAATATTTTGAATAGGAAATGACATTATGGAAATAAAAAGATTTATTAATACATATATAGAGCCATCAAATATTCAGTTATAGGAATCCATAATACTGAAATCGAGTAAGTGGCTATAAACCATCCCAATGTACCTACCTTCTGGAATAGGTTTTGGACTAGGAAAATCTACTGGTTTTGCTACTTCAACAGCTGCAGGTTGAGCTGAAGAGGGCTTTTCATTCTGTGGTACTGGAGATTCACTTTTACTTGAAGCAACATTAGAAGTCAAGAATGAATTACTATTTCCTTCTGATAACCCTAACCCTGATCCTAGACTAGGTAGAGATGACGTAAATGGAATATTAGAAGTAAGCACACTAGTGGGCCACCCACAAAACTGAAGTCCCATCATAGATACTCCACCTTTCACCTGCAAAAAGAAAACATTTATTAATAAAAAGTAGATTATTTTAAGAAGTTAGGAAAAATGTTTAGAATATAAAATTATTTTCAAAATTCTGAAAAATATTCTTTTATTTATTAGAATTAAAGGAAAATGAAATACATTAGCAATAAAAATGTTACATTCCATGTTCTTATTTGTTCCCCAAAGTAATTTCCCTTTCAGATATACTGTTACACTAATAATTTTAAAAGTAATTAAAGAAGACTTAGACCAAGTTTAGAAATCAGTTGTTCTAATGAACCTTGGTGACAGAAACTCTGAGTTGCTTCAGTTTTCATACTGTAGTAGGAATATTTTCACTATTTGAGTGATCCCCCTTGACCAAAATCTCCTTGGGGTCAAAGACTACATAAAGCAATACCAAAATGAGTTACAGTTAGCAGTACCAACCTGAAGAGGTGATAAAGCAAATGGATTTAAGCCAACAGGATTCTGAGCAGAAGATCCAAGAGGAGCTGGGGCAGGTGAAGGTGACGTAGATGGTGGCTGAGACTGAGGAGTCACCAAAGAAGCAGTTGACATTTCGGCATGAGTAAGTGAAGTGTCATCACAAGGTGTTCGTGGCAAAAGACTAAACCATTGTCTATTCTTTTCAGTCAGCGTTTTTAGTAACTGGTCATTAGGGAGAGGACTATAGAACTTCCCTGGACCACCTGAACCACTGTTAAACAGATTATTAGAGTCTGCCTTTTCCACATTGCTTTGTGTTGTTGGTGACTGGATGCTGCCCAGTGGATGTTTTCCACTGTTCTGATAAGACAATGTGCACCCATTTGCACTAACATTTGGTTTGGGAGTCATAACCTCTGACTCAGGAGGCATCTTAGCTACCTCCAAAAGCTTGCTTAATTTGGAAAAAGAGCCAGGTTTCTGAAGGAATAGATTTGTGTTATCTTTTTCTTTAAGATCTTCCTTTTGTTCACAGTGATCTGTATTTGAACAATTTAAAGTGTCCCCAGAAGTCTCAAACATTTCTTCTTTGATCTGGACACTTTCTGCCATTTTTAGTTTTTCTCTTTCTTTTGCAATTTCTTCTAGTCCTACAAAATCAAAAATCATTATGAAGACCAGTTACTCCAGATCAAACCAATACTGTAAATATATGTCATTACTCTTTATCAAATTATATGCAAAAATACTTAAACTTGTTTAGATTACCGAATACTCCCTATATTTTCCTTTTTTGTAGATGATAGCTTTCACTCACAGGGAAATCAACATTTATTTGCTATAAAAAAATTAAAATCTGAAAATATTAAAAGTACAAAAAATCTTAAAAGCCCTACTACACAGCAAAAATTACCCTTAATATTTTTTGTATTAAACCTCTAGGAGTGCTCTATGTGACACATACACACTTAAATCCATATAATTAAAAAAAGAAATTCTACTACATACATAATATTCTAAACTACTACAGCGTTTTATTGAATAATACTCTGTAAACACCTTGACATGTCGATAAACATACAAATTCATTATAAATTTTAATGGCTACAGAATGAAATATATGATAACTATATCATTTATTAAACTGTCAATCTTCTACTGATATATAATAGGTCCCAATTGTTCACTATTACAAACTGTGCTGTAAATAATGAATGACCTTTTGTCTATACTTTTGGACTTGTTCCCTTGATTTACTTCCTTAAAATAAATTCCTAGAAGAAAACTAAGATGTGTACTTTTTAGAGTTTTTGAAATACATTGTCAAACTGCCCTCTAGAAAGCCTGGATCAATATATACTCACATTAAAGTACCTGAGGGCATCTGTGTGCCAATACCCTCAATGAAACTGGATGCTGTCAATATTTTTGTCCTTGCCAATATTTGAGAGGTGAAAATCTAGATTACATTATTTCTGGTCATTAGAAGGGTGATATCTTCTCCCCTCAATATTAATTGATGTTAATGTTATTATAAGAATTTTTTAAAAACTTGTGCATTTAATGTTAAATCTAATCTTATTTTATTAAGAACACATTATATTTTCAAGGAACTTTTAAAAAGTAGTAAGATGACGAGAATAATGTATATTATTAATGTTGAACCAACTTTCAGCACCATTTATTTATGGTAGTTTCTACTAGTTTGACACTTATTGATCCTTATCAGCCTTGCCTGTCAGACACACTACTTGCACATATCATACACTTGTATGTTCTCTTTGTCTTCATAAGTGCTATATCTTTCCAATTAGATTGTGAGCTCCTTGTGGATAGGGACAGGTTAACTGATTCTTTTTTTTTTTTAATTTTTTATGGGATTTTAGGTTTTGGGGTACATGAGCAGAGCATGCAAGACAGTTGCGTAGGTACACACATGGCAGTGTGCTTTGCTTTGCTTCTCCCCTTCACCCACAATTGGCATTTCTCCCCAGGCTATCCCTCCCCACCTCCCCCTCCCACTGGCCCTCCCCTTTTCCCCCCAATAGACCCCAGTGTTTAGTACTCCCCTTTCTGTGTCCATGTGTTCTCATTTTTCATCACCTGCCTATGAGTGAGAATATGCGGTGTTTCATTTTCTGTTCTTGTGTCAGTTTGCTGAGAATGATGTTCTCCAGATTCATCCATGTCCCTACAAACGACACGAACTCATCATTTCTGATTGCTGCATAATATTCCGTGGTGTATATGTGCCACATTTTTCCAATCCAGTCTATTATCAATGGGCATTTGGGTTGATTCCAGGTCTTTGCTATTGTAAACAGTGCTGCAATGAACATTCGTGTACATGTGTCCTTATAGTAGAATGATTTATAGTCTTTTGGATATATACCCAGTAATGGGATTGCTGGGTCAAATGGAATTTCTATTTCTAAGGCCTTGAGGAATCGCCACACCGTCTTCCACAATGGTTGAACTAATTTACACTCCCACCAACAGTGTAAAAGTGTTCCTTTTTCTCCATATCCTCTCCAGCATCTGTTGTCTCCAGATTTTTTAATGATCGCCATTCTAACTGGCGTGAGATGGTATCTCAATGCAGTTTTGATTTGCATCTCTCTGATGACCAGTGACGATGAGCATTTTTTCATACAATTGTTGGCCTCATATATGTCTTCTTTCGTAAAGTGTCTGTTCATATCCTTTGCCCACTTTTGAATGGGCTTGTTTGTTTTTTTCCTGTAAATCTGCTTGAGTTCTTTGTAAATTCTGGATATCAGCCCTTTGTCAGATGGGTAGACTGTGAAAATTTTTTCCCATTCTGTTGGTTGCCAATCTACTCTAGTGACTGTTTCTTTTGCCGTGCAGAAGCTGTGGAGTTTCATTAGGTCCCATTTTGTCTATTTTGGCTTTTGTTGCCAATGCTCTTGGTGTTTTGTTCATGAAGTCCTTGCCTACTCCTATGTCCTGGATAGTTTTGCCTAGATTTCCTTCTAGGGTTTTTATGGTGCCAGGTCTTATGTTTAAGTCTTTAATCCATCTGGAGTTAATTTTAGTGTAAGGTGTCAGGAAGGGGTCCAGTTTCTGCTTTCTGCACATGGCTAGCCAGTTTTCCCAACACCATTTGTTAACCAGGGAATCCTTTCCCCATTGCTTGTTTTTGTCAGGTTTATCAAAGATTGTATAGTTGTAGATATGTTGTGTTGCCTCCGGTGCCTCTGTTTGTTCCATTGGTCTATATCTCTGTTTTGGTACCAGTACCATGCTGTTTTGATTACTGTAGCCTTGTAGTATAGTTTGAAATCCGGTAGTGTGATGCCCCCCGCTGTGTTCTTTTTGCTTAGAATTGACTTGGCTATGCGGGCTCTCTTTTGGTTCCATATGAAGTTCATGGTGGTTTTTTCCAGTTCTGTGAAGAAAGTCAATGGTAGCTTGATGGGGATAGCATTGATTCTGTAAATTACTTTGGGCAGTATAGCCATTTTCACAATATTAATTCTTCCTAACCATGAACATGGAATGTTTCTCCATCTGTTTGTGTCCTCTCTGATTTCGTTGAGCAGTGGTTTGTAGTTCTCCTTGAAGAGGTCCCTTACGTTCCTTGTGAGTTGTATTCCAAGGTATTTATTCTTTTTGTAGCAATTGTGAATGGCAGTTTGTTCTTGATTTGGCTTTCTTTAAGTCTGTTATTGGTGTAGACAAATGCTTGTGATTTTTGCACATTGATTTTATATCCTGAGACTTTGCTGAAGTTGCTTATCAGTTTCAGGAGATTTTGGGCTGAGGTGATGGGGTCTTCTAGGTATACTATCATGTCTTCTGCAAATAGAGACAATTTGGCTTCCACCTTTCCTATTTGAATACCCTTTATTTCTTTTTCCTGCCTGATTGCTCTGGCTAGAACTTCCAGTACTATATTGAATAGGAGTGGTGAAAGAGGGCATCCTTGTCTAGTGCCGGATTTCAAAGGGAATACTTCCAGTTTTTGCCCATTCAGTATGATATTGGCTGTTGGTTTGTCATAAATAGCTTTTATTACTTTGAGATACGTTCCTTCGATACCGAGTTTATTGAGGATTTTTAGCATAAAGGGCTGTTGAATTTTGTCAAATGCCTTCTCTGCGTCAATTGAGACAATCATGTGGTTTTTGTCCTTGGTTCTGTTTATGTGGTGAATTACGTTGATAGACTTGCGTATGTTGAACCAGCCTTGCATCCCCAGGATGAATCCTACTTGATCATGATGAATAAGTTTTTTGATTTGCTGTTGCAATCGGCTTGCCAATATTTTATTGAAGATTTTTGTATCTATGTTCATCATGGATATTGGCCTGAAGATTTCTTTTCTTGTTGGGTCTCTGCCAGGTTTTGGTATCAGAATGATGTTGGTCTCGTAAAATGATTTGGGAAGGCTTCCCTCTTTTTGGATTGTTTGAAATAGTTTTAGAAGGAATGGTACCAGCTCCTCTTTGTGTGTCTGGTAGAATTCGGCTATGAATCCGTCTGGACCTGGGCTTTTTTTGAGTGGTAGGCTCTTAATTGCTGCCTCGACTTCTGAGCTTGTTATTGGTCTATTCATAGTTTCAGCTTCCTCCTGGTTTAGGCTTGGGAGGACACAGGAGTCCAGGAATTTGTCCATTTCTTCCAGGTTTACTAGTTTATGTGCATAGAGTTGTTTGTAATATTCTCTGATGATGGTTTGAATTTCTGTGGAATCTGTGGTGATTTCCCCTTTATCATTTTTTATTGCATCTATTTGGTTGTTCTCTCTTTTATTTTTAATCAATCTGGCTAGTGGTCTGTCTATTTTGTTGATCTTTTCAAAAAATCAGCTCTTGGATTTATTGATTTTTTGAAGGGTTTTTTGTGTCTCAATCTCCTTCAGTTCAGCTCTGATCTTAGTTATTTCTTGTCTTCTGCTGGGTTTTGAGTTTTTTTGATCTTGCTCCTCTACCTCTTTCAATTTTGACGATAGGGTGTCAATTTTGGATCTCTCCATTCTCCTCATATGGGCACTTATTGCTATATACTTTCCTCTAGAGATGGCTTTAAATGTGTCCCAGAGGTTCTGGCATGTTGTGTCTTCATTCTCATTGGTTTCGAAGAACTTCTTTATTTCTGTCTTCATTTCATTGTTTACCCACTCAACATTCAAGAGCCAGTTGTTCAGTTTCCATGAAGCTGTGAGGTTCTGGATTGGTTTCTGTATTCTGAGTTCTAACTTGATTGCACTATGGTCTGAGAGGCTGTTTGTTATGATTTCAGTTGTTTTGCATTTGTTGAGCAGTGCTTTACTTCCAATTATGTGGTCAATTTTAGAGTAGGTGTGATGTGGTGCTTAGAAAAATGTGTATTCTGTGGATTTGGGGTGGAGAGTTCTGTAAATGTCTATCAGGTTTGCTTGCTCCAGGTCTGAGTTCAAGCCCTGGATATCCTTGTTGATTTTCTGTCTGGTTGATCTGTCTAATATTGACAGTGGAGTGTTAAAGTCTCCCACTATTATTGTGTGAGAGTCTAAGTCTCTTTGTAAGTCATTAAGAACTTGCCTTATGTATCTGGGTGCTCCTGCATTGGGTCTACATATGTTCAGGATCGTTAGCTCTTCTTGTTGTATCGATCCTTTTACCATTATGTAATGGCCTTCTTTGTC